GGTGACACCAGTGCTGATCATGTGGGGACTAACCTTGGAGCACAGCTGGGTTGGCTGACATTAGAAGGAGGTGACTGATGGCTTGGACGTGTGCTGGAAACTGAACAGGATTGATCCAGACAGTCAAATATGCACACAAGATTTCATTGTGGCCAGCACGCCGTTTTCCTTTAAAAAGAGATGGCATGGCTTATCTGATACAGGGCAATGAGGTAAAATGTGGACAAGTGGCTATCTGGGCTCAGAGCAAAGGACAACAGGACAAAAGGGACTCTCAGAAAGGTGGCCTGCAACATGTAGTCATGTGCAGGAAAAAGGAGTCTCCAGCCTTTCCCTGTAAGGCTTTGGGCTGGGGACGAAGTACCGCCATTACTCTTTTAAAACTCAGATTATTTTAAGAACACAGATGAGTGCTTATGAGTCATGAGCGCTTTGGTGTGAATGATTTTTAAATCTTTCCCTTGGTAAATAGAATGATAGCTACCATTTGAGATCTGAAACTCATCTGACGTCTCACCCAGTCAGCTCAGCTGTGATCCTTGTTCTAGAAAGGGATGTGGCACCTGGAAGTGGAGATTCCTATGTCAGGGTAATCAGGACTAGGGCACAGACAGGAACTGGAAAGGGGGTGGCATCAAATAAGAAACATTGCCCTATCTCCATCCACTCACCCTTGGACTAGGGAAGGATCACCTGAGCCGTCCAAGAAGTGACTGAGGAGAGGGGGTCAGAGAGGAGTGGCAGTCCTCAGGACACAGGGCTCCGCCTCCCTAATGGCACATTGTTAGATGGGCTTTCTCTATCAGTGGTGAAACTGCCGCCAAGTTGGCCATGTTTCTGTGAGTAACCCCTCCCCCACACTGTCACCCCACTCAAATTCTTTGGTTCAGCAAACTATATTTAGGTGTGTCTTGGGGTTAATATTGCTGTGGAAACACCATGACCAAAAGTAGCTAGGGAGGAAAGGATTTATTGGCTCACAAATCCTGAATTACAGTCCACTGAAGGAAGGCAAGGCAGGAGTTCAAACCAGGTGAACCTGAGGCAGGAGCTGATGCAGAAGCCATGGAGGGTGCTGTTCCCTATGGTTCACGCAGCCTGCTTTCTTATAGAACTCAGGACCACCATCCCGGGGAGGCCCAGGCCCTCCCCCATCAAGCACTTGTTAAGAAAATGCCATACAGGCATGTCTGTCTTCAGCCTGATCTTAAGGGGGTGTTTTCTCAACTGGGGGCCTTCTCCAGCCTCTGTTAGGTTGACAAAACTAGCCTTCACAAAGTGGAATTGTCCCGTTGGTCTGTCTCTGAAGTCCTGTCTGCAGTGAACAGAGGTTTGCTCAACAGTCTCCAGGAAAACGCACACAGCAGTGGGGCATCTCCAGGCTCCTGGAATGCTTGCTGCCATCTAGTAGGGGGAGAAAATGAGGGGGAGCTTAAATTTAAAATGAAGTCTTAAAAAAAATCAGCATGTTATGGTCATTGTGTCCTTGGGCCTTGTAACCCTGCTGTGCTGTTGAGACCATGTGTGGTCATTGTGAAGATCATGGCTGGGACAGGGAGTGAGGAGATGAGTCAGGAAGACAGGGTGACTTGAAGTGGGGCCAGGGGAGGTGACGGTGTCACTGGGATCTAGCTTAACCAACATGCTGGCCAACCTCCCTTAGATTGAAGGGTGCGTGGGTAAAGGAAAGTTCATGGTTACACCAGGGTTTGGGGCAGAGCCACTGGTGCTATCATTTCCTGAAATGGGAAAGATGGGAGAGAAATACGTTTGCAGGGGGTAGGGATTAGCTTCTCTTTGGATGGTTTGAATAAGCTTCCTGTTAGATATCAAGTATGTTGTGTGAGCACTGCATCAGCTCTCAAGGAAGCGGACCTGCAGAACGGGTTCGGAAGGCATCACGGTTAGACGCTGTGGGTATACAGCACGTGTGCTCGATGCAAGACCACAGGCTTGTACCTAACCGCTCATGGAGATAGGTTCAAGCACTAGGACAGCTCAGCATTTACAAGCTGGAGGGTAGAGGATGGTGTCCCAAGAATAAGGCTTTTATAATGTTGAGCGTTTTTTGAGACAGAAAATAGTATGTTTGTATTCTGATTAGAATAACCAAACAAGGGAGGGATGTCATGTTGGAAAAGGGCGATTTCAGGGCCTTTAGAGAGTCGTGAACTCATGGAAATGGAATTCATTTACATTAGGAGTTCTCTACATCTTAAGTTTTCATTATAGACGCTGTCTTAGTTACTTTTCATTTGCTGTGACTAAGCATCGTTTAATCTGTGGCTCAGTTCCAGAGAATAGAGAGTATGAACACCATGGTGGGGAGCATGGCAGCAGGCGGGCAGGCAGGCAGGCAGGCAGGCAGGCATGGAGCTGGAACAGTAGCTGAGAGCTTATGTCTTCATTCACAAACGTGGGGCAGAGAGAACTAACCCTCGGAGGGCTTTTTAAGCCTCAGAGCCCACCCCAAGTGACACCCTACTCCAGGAAGACCACACCTCCCAATCTTTCCCAAACGGTTCCCGCAGCTGGGACCCAGGCATTTGAACACATGAGGTTATGGGGCCATTCTCATTTAAGGCACCTCGGGTGGCTTCTTCCTTTATGCTCAACCTCCATAGGAGTGGTTATACAGTGTTAATTTGGGTGGTTTTTTGACTACAAGAAACAGAAAACCTGATCACAGACAACAGGAAATAATGAGTTGCATTAGTTCCAGTGAAAAGTCCATGGTAGGGTAAACCAGATTCCAGAAGTCTGTGTCACGTTCCAAAACTGTCTGCTCATTTTGCTACCCAGATCATCTGTGTGCACCACCCAGTTAGATAATCCGTTTGTACAATTAGCAAGGGTTCTGGATGTGTTAAACAAATTTACACGATAGTCATTTGAGAGCTTTTCTCCTTAAATGGGATTTATCTGATGGTATTAAATCCAAGATTAAATAATGAAAAGTGAAAGGAAGCCAGCAGTTGGAGGAATATAAAGCAGATGTCTTAGAACATGTAGGAAACGAGCTTTTCCTGATGCAGCAAGATCATTGTTTATTTAAGAGGTAGGTGCTCAAACTTCTAAGAGCTGATGGCTGTCACTGTCTTCAGAGTTCACAAATTCTAGCTTCTTTTTTTTTTTTTTTTTTTTTTTTTTGGTTTTACGAGACAGGGTTTCTCTGTATTGCTTTGGAGGCTGTCGGTCCAGCCTGGCCTCGAACTCACAGAGATCTGCCTGCCTCTGCCTCCCGAGTGCTGGGATTAAAGGCGTGTGCCACCAACGCCCGGCTCTAGTTTTTTACATATATGCAGAACAGTAGTTTATGATGGAAAAGATATCTGTAGAAAGCACTCAAGTTCTGTTTAGTAATTAGTAGTAGGCTTTATCAACAAGCACTAAGGTCCCTCACAGGGAAGGTTTTCAGTTCGGGCCACTAGAGGGCAGCAAATCCTGGTGTCTGGTTTCAGCTATAGCGCCCATGGCTGTGTTGATTTAGGGGCAGCTGTTAAGTGTCCCCAATAAGGAGAAGTGTGACTGTGTGCCGTGGGTAACATTTGGAGTGGACCGGTCTGATCCTTACATTGCTGCTTTGCCAGTTCTGTGATGCCTAGCTCCCTCTGCGAACAACTAGACACCTTATTTATATCCAGACCTGCTTTCAGAATGCAGATAATTCAAATTCCTTAGATTATGAAGGAAGGGAATTACATAACACTATAATTATTCCTGGCAGAGAAACTCAGGGCTAGGCACGAGCTCCTGCTTTCCCTTCATGTGCTACATGGAGCTCTTTGTCCTGGGCAAGACATGTGAGCAGGAACTCGAGATAAGGGCAAAGGCACCCTTCTCGGAGGACGTGAACCCACGCACGGCTCTTCTCGTCCTGCACTGACACGCATGCCCTTTGCTGCCCTAACAAAAGCTGCACGGGTGCGAGCAGCCTCAGCCCCTGCAGTGGGGGCAGACTGGGTATGCTTGTTGCTGAGTAAACAAAACCTATCAAGTTAAGTGGGCCGCTGGCAACTCCCCAGCCTCCCGCAGAGCGAGGCCAAAGCAGGTCTGTGGTTCAGCCAACTCAGAACTTCATCTTCGTCCTGTTCGAATCTTCTTTCTGTACAGCGAAGACTTTGGCTGCATCTGAAGGATTCACTCAGTTTCTCCATTTTAGAAGTCATCAAGTCGGCTTAGTCCTTGAGCTTAGTTTCCTCAAATGAGGTCTAGACCCAGAGCTATCTGTACTTTGTGGTCACCCACAAAGAGCTCTCGATCTAGAGACTTCGTTCCATCTAGCTCAGTTCCTTTTTGATCTTTCTAACGTTGGTCAACATAATCAAAAGCCGCTTTCTTTCTCCTTTAGCCTTATCCACAGTGCAAGTGGGTGGCTATGGGAAGAAATTCTCTAAGCCTGTGCTAGATCACAGCATTTTCTTCCTTCTCTGTAAGACTGTATCCCTGCCCATCAATTTGTGACTTGAAGTCCTTCTCAGAAGGTCAAGTCTTGTCAGGCTTGGTCACATGACTTACTTGGCCATGGGAACCAAACCAAGGACCAGTAGTTTTCAGACTATGAGTTTGAATGAGACCAAGGAGCAAGGGGCAAGGTTACCTGGGAGAGGCTGGAGGGAGAAAGGGAAGGGGAAATGATGTAATTATATTATAACCTAAGAAAGTTATTTTTAAAAAGTGGCTTAAACATTAAAGGTGCAGCAGCCTGGGTTTTTGTTTTGTTTTTGTTCTCTCTCTCTCTCTCTCTCTCTCTCTCTCTCTCTCTCTGTCTCTGTGTGTGTGTGTGTGTGTGTGTGTGTGTGTGTGTGTTCACCTTTGCTCTGATCCAAAAGAAGGCCTCTTTGTTTTGGGCCTTGCAATGAGAAGACACTGCAAGACTTAACAAATGTTGTATAAGTGAAAATTATACATTGTTGTAAGACCCTAAGATCATGTGTTACTACAGCAAAGTCACCAAATGCAAATACCAAAAGTAAATTATAAATGGAAGATAATAAATGTGATAGTCTCAATTCCCAATCACTTTTATTTATATAAAGTATATTAAATAAATAATCTCAATATATACAAATAGAAGCTATATACATAGAAAATCCCATATACAAAACCTTTAAAATGTATATAAATATATGCAATGTTAACCATAGACACTTTTAAGTACCTTAAATCATAAAACTCAATGTAGTTGTTTATATAGTAGTCTTATAAAAATAGAGACAGCTGTCAAATGTTTAATCCTCACCATTGTAGTTAAAGTGCTAAATTGTAATACATAACAGAAAGATGCCCCACGCAGAAATATACTGCATTTAACACATTGATGTGAGAGTTTGCCAATTTCTCTGAACTTTCAAGAGTACCTAGGAGGGGGAAAAAAGAAACAAAATACCACTTTATAAAAGGACAGCTATCAGAAAAGTCAGCCCTATTTCCATTTTAACTGTTCTATAGTCAATGGAATCACCTTCTCAAAGGCTCTTCCAAAAGTCCACCCTGGTTATACAAAAGGCATCTGTCCCCTGATGACCTAGTGTCTTCCTGAGTGTAGAATACACAATCTAAAGCATTTGTGCAAAAGACGCGGTAGTGTTAACCAGTCTGTACCGTTCAGTACATTCTAAAGTGACAAATGCTAGTGTTGAAGTCAGAGTGTTGGCTGGGATATCAGGCCACAAAGGGAACCTTTCTGTACCGGGATCGTCAAGCTCTGTGCTCCACATCCTCTGTTCCCATTAGAGGTCTTAGTATCAGTGCGGTGCGGTAGTGCAGTATCTAGCGGCTTCAGCCTCCTTTCTCTCCTCTATGCTGAGCGAAGTGGGGAGTTTTCCTTCCTTTGCTGCCCTGCTCTGCCCTTTTTGCACTTGCACAAATATACGGACAGGAGGATGAAAAAGATGATGACCACGAACACCACTGCTCCCACGATGATGAGTGTTTCTGAAAAAAAATCAAAGACACAAAGTCAACTTGGAGGCTGAAATCCCACTCACAGGTGGGTATGACCCCAAACTACACCATCCTGCTCTTTTGAAACTGGAAGTCTATTTCTTTTACTCCTTCTACCATTCTTAGATTAAGAAAGAATTTACCTGACCTCATATGCTTGACAGAAATGACAATGGCTACAGCATTAAATGAACCACCCAATGTTCCTGGCTACGGAAGACTGTGACTTGATAATTAACTCTGAACTGTGGTCTGCATGCCCAATAGCCCATAGAATTTGACCCACTGCAAGTGCCTAGGGAAGTGCTTGCTAACTAAGGGAACCAGTGGAATCATTTCTAAATTTCCCCAAAGAAAACCCAAAAAGAAACCCTAAAACACGCAAAGGTAGCTTCTCCTTGAATGTTTGAACCAAAGACATACATGTTGTCTCTGTTGTGGGGCAACCAGTCCTCCCAGACAGGCATGGACACTCCTCCATCATACTCTCCCATTAGACAGGCATGGACACTCCTCCATCATACTCTCCCATAGACAGGCATGGACACTCACCTCCCATTATACTCTCCCATAGACAGGCATGGACACTCACCTCCCATTATACTATCCCATTAGACAGGCATGGACACTCACCTCCCATTATACTATCCCATTCATCTGAGCACTCCATGTTGCTTTGTGAGCTCTGCTGGTTATCTTTCCTGGAGCGAATCACAGCTTGTACAGTGAAGCAGTAGCCTTTAGCTTGTTCCAAAGGGATGGTGAAATTATTAGTGTTTGTATTGGCTGGCTTCTGTGAAAAGATAGAGTTATTGTTCCATCTAGTCTCTGAGTGGATTCTTTCCCCTTATTTAGTCACTGAGGAGGGTGAAACCTGAGATCTGAGCAAAGTCTATGAGGACATCATTGACATAGGAGGACTAGAAGTTACTTGACTAATCTGATAACTGCTAAGGATGCCTTTGCCAAGGCTGAAAAATACAACTTAGACCCATCTGACTCAGTTCAGCCTCTTTATTTTCTGTAGGAAAAAAAAAAGAATCACTGAAAAGGGGACATTTGGGGGCCAGGGATGTAACTCTAACTCAGTGATAGAGAACTTGTCTAGTGTAGAAGGTCCTGGGTAACAACCCCAGGATCACAAAGTAGTAGTGTGTGTATGTGCATGGGTGCACACAAATTAATCAATAAGTCATTTTCCCCCTCCGGGAACCCCAATGAGGATGTGGGAGAGGGCAGGACCCTTGGAGATGATCTGGTCCAGCTCCTTGGTTGAGAAACTGGAATTTCTGAAAGGACTTGCCCAAGGGCACAAAGTGACAGGAGAATGAGGGCCTGTCGTCCATACCGTCATGTCAACCCCTAGTCCTCTATATTTGAACTAGGAAAGAAGTGGACTGTGGAGAGTCAAGGTTCTATAAAACAAGGAATAAAAATGAATGAAAGATTTCTCACCGCCCTTGAGCTTGACTCTTTCTGATAATGAAGTGTATAACTCAAGTCCTTGCCAAAAACATCCCGGAGGGTGAGGAACGTGCCATTCCGCCTGACCGCTGTTGGTGAGTCTTCTACTGTCACATTCAGTTCCTTGCCAACTTGTTTAAAATGCTGGATTACAGGCTTTCCGAGTTTTGCTGGAATGAAAAAAATAAATTACCTTGGTTGGAAATTAATATCAATACAAAGAAAAGACCACTTCATTATAATAACCAACAGCTCCTCCATCACTCATATAGAATATCTGTCCTGAATCAGCTCCAGGAGCAGGAGTGGTGGGATTCTAGAGCTGAGTCCCAAGACAGCACACAGCAACACCATCCTCTGGAAACACAAGAGTTTTCCTTACAGTCATTAGAAAATATGACAAGGAGCTGGTGGAATTAATCTTTTTATTTTTTATTTTAGAAGCACTCCTATTTACTTATCAATGCCCCCATTCCCTCATCCTCCCATCCTCCCAAGTCCCCCACCGACCCCAGAATTAATCTTAATAAATAAACTTTAACAGTTCCATTGGTAGACTAGCATTTTAATATGCAATCAATATAAACATTTCATGTATATTTTACATTTTTCGAAAGCTGGAGTATGTTTCTTCTTGGCAGCATTAGCAATATTTCTAGAGTTTGGTCGCCATGTGTGGATGATCGCTACCAGGCTGTATGATGCAGTTTTACAAGCTTCCGTATTTTGGCTACAATAAATTAGGGGCTGGGAAGTCCCAGAAGTGTCCCTAGTCCACCAAGGAATCCATTTTAAGCTATTCTTGGTTCAGTTCCCTCATGTGAGCTGGTTATGTGATGTTCAAGTAAGTCCCCACCCTACAGGACAGTGTGTGTGTGTGTGTGTGTGAGAGAGAGAGAGACAGAGAGAGAGAAAGAGAGACAGAGAGACAGAGAGAAAGAGAGACAGAGAGAGAGAGAGTATGTATGTTCTGTCATGTGCCATAAAGAATTTTGTCTGGATTACTGAAAGCTCAAGAACTATAAAGGATAATCATGGCGGGGGGCCATGAGATTGTCAGTGAGCCTGCATGAGATGAAGGTGTCATGCAGAAACACACGGTAAAAACACATAAAAGTCTGAAGAGAGAGGGGCTTGTCAATGGGGACTCTAGGAAGACAGCCACATTCACCTGGGTAATTAGACCATGAGAGCAGACATAAAATTCTGGTCAATTGTCCCTCACCCTTCTCACCATCCATGTCGCAGAGCTGTCAGAGGGGTACAGATAGGAACATCAAAAATATAACGCTTTTGTTTGAACCAGCAGGGCTTACAGAAGAAGTGGAGTTCTGTCTTCCTAATGTATGTGCTCATGAGATGTCAACCCCTGAGCCACAGTCCTACACCCCCTCCTGCCCACCAAAAAAACCCCTCCTACTTGGCAGGAATTCTCTGTGTTTCCTCATCAGATGGCAGACTAGCATACCGGGACAAAAGTAGGGAAGAAAGCATGCCACACTTTCAAAGCCAGCTTGAGGGAGGCTGGCACATACTGGCTCATCTTGGGATCAAATGAAATTCGTCTGGTTGAGGAACCAACGTGCCTAATTACAGGCACAAGCAAGCTTCCCTATGGATGTGGGTTTGTTTGAGGAAAATCCTCAATGAGGACCTGTGATCTGAAGGGATAGAAAAGCCATGTGTGACATGTATCCTGACAGAGTATCCCAAGGAAAAGCCACAGCCCTAGCCTTGGCGCAACCTCCAGCTGGTTACTGGTAGGAACTGGGAGTAGACTGGAGGAAAGAGTAGATGACACAGTTATCAGCACACACGTTCACGTCTTGTGAGCCTCCCGCCACATCTGCAGAGAATGGAAGACTTATTTATTAGATGCCTCTTTGGCCCTCTCAGTGTATAGAGATACAGGGTTAATCTAATGGTCAGTAGGGGTCACGAAGCAGAAGAGTGTACAGAAGACTAGACCAAGAGTGAAGGCGCTATATACCAAGCTACTTACTGTCTCGGTAAGGTAAAAAATCTGGGGCGTTTGCAAATGGTGGTTCCTCCAAATAAGTGTTATTCCGTGGGACAGATAGGACCCTTGCTTGATAAGTCAGGTGCACGTCTTGCACGGTCTCGTCTGTGAGGTCACACTCAGTGTCTGTGATTAAGAAGCATTTGATTTTCCATTTAGATCCAGAGCTAAAGGAAGGAAGGGCAAAAAGAAATGAGATGTTAGGGTCTGTGCCCACCATTACACCACATGCTAGCTTTGACTGCAAGAATGAGAACACACCTCCCCAAAGATCGGAGAAAACCAATGCAGACAACACCCATTTAACAAAGTCTGAGCATCCTCTGAGGACAGAAGACAGAGCTTTCTTTTTTTTAGGTACCGTTGAAGAGAATATAATTGGAAAAACTCCTGCTGAAAATGAAGTTCTTTGAAAGGACTAAAATGACCATTAGCCAAATTCCGCCATTCCTTGTCCCATGCACTCCTACCAAATGAATGGCAGGACTCACTGCTCTGTGGTTCACACCATCCTTCCAGACAGACCCCAGCACTCAAGCCAAGTTCCAGACCTCCTATCACCTTGCTCAGCACTCATCTCTCTCTCTCTCTCTCTCTCTCTCTCTCTCTCTCTCTCTCTCTCTCTCTCTCTCTCTCTCTCTCTCTCTCTTTCTCTCTGGTCCCCACCCTACTGCCACACAAACGCTCTTTGTACCAAGAGTCTTGTTTTCATCTCTACCAAGAAGTGGTGGTTCAGTGTGTGCTGAGTATGAGGCTGTGACCCTTTTAGGGTGAATACACACTTCCCATGACCACACACATTAAAAAGAATCCGGCCCCTCCTAAGAGAGATTACATCAAATGAGGTAACATATGCAAAGGGACCAGCATAATAGCTGGCATACAGGAGAGCCAGTGGTTGACCAGCCATACATGATGAGCATAAGAGAATGTAACTATGTAGGCAATCTATTAATAATAGACTTTAATTATTCAACATAGATATAGACTATGATACAACAATGAGTAGGGGAGTCACATATAGATTCTTTTATGTAAATCCACACAAAAAAGGCACAAATGTGGATTCTCCAAAAATATAACCAGACTGAAAGTTTGAACCTGGGTACATATATCCTTTATCTTCAAAGTCACAAACTAACATTAAAATAGAAATATTTTAGCTTCTTGTATTTTTTTTCTATTGTTAGTATGGAGAGGCTGCTTGGATCCAGAATGGCCAAAACGCACCTTGATGACATCTTTTCCATATCAAAAGCCAATGGTGGCTTAATGGTTTCTTTCCAGCAATAAGACAAACAAGTCCCTCAGGGGCTAGGCTCTGGGTGAGGACATACAGCTGAGAGGTGTTTTGTTCCACTCAGTTCACAAGTAGGAACATGTGCTCTCTGAAAAAAAGTTAGGACAGGGGCCTACATCATCCCGTGACAATAGGTCAAGAAGAGGACAGTTCTCCAATGAGGTCCTCAGGGTGCTGCCAAGAGCACAGCCACTTTAAAAGTCTTCAAGGTCCCTCTAGGTTAGTGAAAAACTCCCCAGATTTGGAAATAAAAGTCCCTCCTAGTTTACTGAGGAGTTCCAACAGAAAGCAGACATTCACTAGTTGAGTTAGAGGCTGTGTCTCGATGCTTCAGAATTCAGCACACACTATGGACTGGATGGCACAAGTTGTGGATGGTGGTGAGGCTGGGCCTCTGATAATGCCCAGCTACTATGGAGTCTATTTTCAGAGAAACCGCTTATGGAGGCTCAGCCAAGGAGCTTTGCTACCAAAGAGCTGCCCTTGGTCCAGCAGCACAGAGCCAAGCATGGGTGGGGGTGGGAACAGGGTTCCCTTGTTAAGGTGCTGTCTTCTCAGGGAGGAGATGAGAAAATACAGGAGATTCAGGAGAAGCCGTGATGAGCAAGGCTTTCCTCCCAGCCTTGCGCCAGCCGGACAGTCTCCTACAGATGTGGCACGCCTCAATTCCAGGCAGCCTGGGAATTCACCAGAAGCAGTCAGGGTAGGTCCCTGGCTTCCCAGAGCAGCGGTTTCCTTTAGAAAAGTGGCTGCTATGATTCCCTTAACCCTGGAATCCCCTTCCCCTTGGGAAGGATGAAGGCTAGCTCAGGTCTCAGGCATTTACTGATGGAAATGCTTCCAGGATCAGCCAGCTCAGCAGCAAGGGTCTGAGGAGAGTGACTGGGCCTGTCTCTGGGCATCCCTAAGCTGTGCCCTGAGCTCTGATGATGGCAGATCGTGAGCCCTATTCATCTAAGTAACCACCATCTTAAACCCCCAAAACTTACAGCTAATAGAGATTTCTATTTCAAAACTCAAGTCAATCCGAGATACAATTCCAACGTCGTTCCAATTAAGACGATGTATTTAGAAGATAATAATTCCTCCCAAAATCTAATATTCTTATATAGGAGAAAAATGTTTCCTAAAATAAATGTCAAGTCCGTACAAAGGAAATTAATTACTTTAATAACTTTTGTTAGAATATGAACTGGCAAGGTTTGAATTTGTTTCAAGTCAGGGTCTCACTATGTAGCTCCAGTCAGCCTGGAGCATATATGTAGCCTTGAACTCATAACCCTCCTGCTTCATATGACGAAGGTGTCCCACCATTACCGGTTCAACTAAATTGAAGAGGAGGCATGAATTAAGGATGGGACGCAAGGCTTTGTATACGGCAGGAAAGAGCTCTACCACTACTATCCTATTGCACCAGCCTTTGAACTGATACATTTGACTACCATGGTAATTATAGGTTACGAAATTTCTTTATGCACAGCTGTGCATGCATACATATGTGTGCATGCTCACACTCATATTCTCTTCCCTCTTGGTTTGGCAATAGTTACTATGCAGTTCATTTTGAAAAACAAGCAAGTTGGCCGCGCGTTGGTGGCGCACGCCTTTAATCCCAGCACTCGGGAGGCAGAGGCAGGCGGATCTCTGTGAGTTCGAGGCCGGGCTGGACCAATAGCCTCCAAAACAATACAGAGAAACCCTGTCTCGAAAAAAAACCAAAAAAAAAGAAAAGAAAAGAAAAGAAAAACAAGCAAGTCATTGAAAAGACCCACACCTAAGCCTCGCACCCTAGTACTATCAAAGGTTTGGCATAAGCTGACACAGCAAAAGAAAGGCTCAAAAATGTGCTTGACTTTCGTCACCAATATCCCTGTTTATCTACATCATCACTGTTAAACTAATTTCTATACCAGGCAGCCTCCATCTCTCCAGTTCCATGCGCATCTCCTAGAACCTATCAGAAAGCAAAGGCTTGCCAAGAATATGTGAAAACAGTCAAAGGAAAACGTGGCACACCCTGATACTCAGTTTTAAAGTGTTGAATTACAAGTTCCTGAGAGCTATCAATCAGTGAACTGGCTTGAATGAGACGAACAACACCCCCCCCACCCCCAGACAGCAAAGGGTATAGACAATCCTTTAAACAGCTCAGTGAGTCAGGAATTTGGCCTCCACCAAGATCATGAAATTTGATGCACAGAGTCCATAGATGAATGAATCAAACGCTGCTTCAGGGCAGTGTAGACAATGGAATTCCTCCTACCTCTCCCTGGCATGCCAGGAGCAGCTCAATCTAGACAGCTAGAACCAGGAAAGTATATTGGTGCTTATAGGAGATCATCTGCCGCCTGATCCCAAAGCATAGCATGGATGCCTGCATGAGCAGGATCACCACGCTGTAGCTTATATGCACTAAGTAGTTTTCCTATAATTTCCCTCAAATATCTAGGCATTGTATCATTTTATTTATTTGTTTTTCATTCTTTATTTATTTTGGTACAGGGTCCCACATACTGCAGAATGACCTATATACAGCTAAGACTGACTGTGGATTGTTAATATTACTTCCTCTACCTCCTGAATGACACCATGCCAATTCTATGTATTGCTGGGGATTGAACCCAGGGCTTTAAGTGTCTAAGTAAGCACTCACTGAACTGGGCACACCCCTAGCTCCTGTCTTAACAGTTTAAAGTATGGAGACGTTTCCCCCTTGATGGCACACGACAGTGGCCAGCAAATTACCATGAAAACTCTATTACTTGCTGAATAGCCTCAAAGAGTCGGTATCTGCACATAAGATCCGGAAGAGCAAAAGCATCACCTTTGGGTTTTTAACCTAACTTACCTTATCTCAACATTGTAGGCATAATCCATGGGTTTGGGTTTCCACTCCAAAATTGTCTTGAAATTAATTGAATTCCAAGTTAAATTAAACGCTTTCTGTGGTGTGCCTGCAAATAACACAAACGCACTATAATTGCCTGCACTTCTGTGTTCATGAAACACTCCCAGCTTCCGCCAACAAAAGGAGCACATTTCAAGTGTCAATTCCAAAAACACTGCCAACTTATATAGAACAGAGAGTCCATTTTCCCCCGAGATCCATAGCATGCTCCAGGCAACATCCACATCGCAGTCTGTGGAAACGGCCAAAAACCCTGAAGTCCTTGTTTAAACCATTCAAGGGAAAGCCCACTTTATAACGACATGGAAGGAGGGCCCAACGTCCACTCACATGCCAGAGGGTTCCAGACCCTTCTAATGCAGTCAGGCTCAAAGCAGAGGCAGCAAGGAAGGGTTTGAAGAAGTTCAAACGTCCCACACAAGTGAGACGAGTCAGGAATGCACATAAATGAAAAAAAGCCAAACCTGGCCTTTCCCACTGTAATCTAAAACATCTCTACTCTGAAACTCCCACGGAGAGCAAGGTAGACAGGCAGCCCGCGTGGCACCTGTCACATGGGGGGATGCCATTCCACTAAAATATTCTGCTATTAACGTCTCTTTGTGCAAGTCCTCGGGTTTCAGTCTGTCTCACCCCAAACATTGGGCAAATGTGGGGGAATGCACTCCGTCTTGCCTGGGTTTGTCAGATCTAAACCAAAGGCCACAAGAACAGCTATTTTACGGGAAGGCGCCCCCCCTTGTCAAAGGTAAATAAATGCAAGCCACAGAAAGCACGCGGACTTGGAGAGAGGTGGACCCACCGCCTGCCACCTTCAGAGAAGCAGCTTCTTAGGAAGCTCTTTCCTCAAAGTAAAGCGGGAAACCCAGATCATTGTGCAACCACGGTGGACACGCAGAGCAGGCATCTCCGGCGGCGACAAAAGCCGGGGTCGGGCATCAACTACCCCTACCCCTTGCGTTCATTCGAACCCTCGGGGCAAGCGCAGCAGAATCCACAGGTGTGGCGACACGTTAGGGTCCCCCAAGGAACCACAGCAGCCTACAGCCACGCAGGTTCGTCCCCTTTTCTCCCGTACTCCCCGGGCTCCCGATGACTAGTGCCACTCACCTGCAGCCGGGGCCACCTGGACAAGGAGGCAGCCGAGAAAGGTGGGCGCGAGGGCCGCCAGGAGGCGCGGGCGCACGGGGATCGCCATGTCCAAGGGCTGGTGGCGGGAGGTCCCAAGGCTTGGCGGCGGCGCGGAGGCTGCGCTACAGAAGCGATCGGAGGGAACGGGTGATGGGTTCCGACCGTAGCCAGGCTGCCGGGGTCCGCGCGGGGCGCGTTATAAAGGGCCGCGCGGCCACCGGCGCCTCTCCACCCCGCGCCGCCTCCGCCGAGGCCCGCGACTCCCCGCCCCCCAGCCCGGGTCACTCGCCTAGGCGGTGGGCGGCTCCCGGTCAATCCACACCCCTGCCCCGCCTCCTCCCATAGGAAACTCCGAGACCCCGAAAGGGGTGACTCACCAGTGATTCAACAACGCCGCCGAGCACCGAGTTGCCCCTTCGGCGCAGGCGGGTCCAGGTGCTACGGAGTCCCAGGCTGCCGGGCGATCCCTGGATGACCAGCCTTGGGTGGCCTGCGAGGGAAAAAGGAGTTGTGTTCCAGAGAACTGAGTTGCATGTCAAGAGAGCCTTACTTTTCTCTGTGCTTTCCATGTAGACTCAGTCCCTAGCAGAGGTTGTATCGGGGTCCCTGGACCATCCCCAAGTAGACAAGGGCAGTTCCAAGGCTCTGGCCGAGCACCCGGTGGTTAGCGGAACATTCTGTCAGTCTCTTGGTACATTGTGCAGGACGGCACAGTAAATGCACGTGTTTGCCATGGACAATTGCCCTGGATTAGGTCTAAAGGCCACTTGGCACCCCCCCCCCCCATCCTGCCCCGGTTCTCGTTCCCAACTTCAGAGAAGGACTGAGGAACTGCAGCTTGAAGCCTGGGAGACTCTGAGTGTCACTTCTGTCGCCAGGGGCTTCCAGGAAGGATGGTTCACACGTTGAAGAAGACAGTGTGGGTTTGTGAGAATTCCTCCAAAATGCAGAAAAACATAAAGCGAAACTGAAAAATAAATGACATTCGGACTTCCAGTTTTGTTTGTTTGTTTTCCTTTCTAGATGCTGGGAATGGACCCTGGAGTCTACCCATTCCAAGCACACCTCTGTCACTGAGGCTAGCCGCAGCCAGGTGCCACCGTGCAAGCTTTGGTTTTCCTCACTTGTTTCCTGGCTTCCTTTTCTAGGTTGTGCTGTGAAGCTGTTCAGGTCTGAGAATGTCACGTATCTTATTGATAGTATTTGTCCAACGTCTCGTCAAAAGATTTCTTGTCATTCCTTGTTGACTGTTCAACTCATTCCTTCCTTTACACCAGTGGTCCTCAACTTTCCTAACTCTGTGACCCTTTAATACAGTTCCTCATGTTACAGGCTCTCCCAGCCACAAATTATTTTCATTGCAACTTTCATAAATGTAATTTTGTTACTGTTATGAATCGTAATGTAAATATCTGTGTTCTCCTATGGCAAAAGAGTCCTTCACTCTCCCACAGGGTCGCCACCTCCAGGTTGAGAAACACTGCTTCACAGGTTTTTTGTTTTATTTGGGGGGGTTTGGTGGTGGTAGTGGTGGTGTTTTGTCGCTTCAGTGAAGTCAGCTTAGGTCCACCTTGTAGGCTCTGAGAAGTGTAAAAAGTTATTAAACTGTTGTCACACTCACTGTGGCTTTGACTAGGCTTTCTGATTATGTCTGAGAACAGGCAGGGCAGCACCTCCTAGATATCTTTTACAACGCCAGTCTCGAGGTGGCTGTGGACTCACTGACCTACCTGCACAATGTCTCCGTATCTGGTCCTTCACAAGGGGCTTTCCCTCTTCTCCTTGCTGCTACTCCTGATCCGAGCAAAGGAAGATTGCATCAAGAAAACTTCAAAGAATGATAAGTTTTTCCACTCACAGACACTCAAGAGGGTTCTGCAGTGGTGTAGGAAACACTTGGTGCTTGGGTAACTTTCTGTACATAGGCAGAAAGATCCTGTTGGCCATTCCTTAAAATACACATGCATGAAGACACGTAGAAAGCTCGATTTCGATTTCCTTTTGCATAACCAGTGGTGAAGTGTGGCTGATGAGGAGTCTGCAAATGACCAGGGCACTCTTTCAGTCCTTCCTGTGCGCGTTTATAGAGCATGCTAATAGTTTTACCAACTCATCCAGTGCTTACATAATTTCCATTGTGCGCTCACACCTCAGTCTTCCCCGTTCAAGCTCTCTCTCTCTCTCTCTCTCTCTGTCTCTCTCTCTCTCTCTCTCTTTGTCTGAGGGGGAGGGGGTCACGTTTTCCTTCTTCCCAGCCTTTAATACAGTTACTAGCACTTAGGAGGAGTTCCATATGTTTGAATCAATGAAGACTACTATGCAGCTATGCATGCAGCGGGAAGTTTTAATTAACATTCAAGAGACACACTCTGTCGCTGAAGTTTTTCTGTCTAGGAGCCAGGCAGCGAGATGGTAGGATTGGTGAGAAAATGCAAATCTATGTCAATCAAGCAGCAGCAGGCCTCAGCTGTCTCAAGGTGACTGAGGTTCTTTGTGACTTCCAGGACTTCTAACTGGAGGAGAGGCAGTTTGAGACAGAATGAAGAAGTTTGGGAGCAGACTGCATTCTAGGGTGACTCAGAATCTGCTCAGTCATGGGATGTGATGAGACTGTTGGTAGCCAGGCTTAATGGCTATTTAGCAGAATTTCCTCAAAATGTCTGTCTTCCTAGGGAAGGGACAGGTAAAGATTTATGACAAAATGTCAAGTTGAGAATATTAAAAAAAAACTGTTATTTGGTTTGAGATAGTAAAAAGAGCAATTTAATCATTTCTCCACCCCCCACCATCCCCCAAATGAAGGTAAAAGGCAAAATATGAGAAAAAAGCCAGAGGGAATTCAGAGTTAATGAGAACACAAAGTTCTGAGTGGGGAGAAAAAGTGACTCAGCAAAACCAAAGAAACATCTGGCAGGGTTAGTCATGAAAAAATTGGCAGTTGTGATTATGCATTTTGTGAAAATAATTATGTACTATCCAACAGTTTATATTTCAACCAAAATTAGTTGAAAACCTGTTACAATAAGAATCTGCGTGACCGCGCAACAGACTTCTGCTCAGCAGCCGCTCACTCAGTCATCACACAGCACCGAGATTTTGAAAAACACTGTTATTTACTTGTTGGATTGATTGATTGTTAGTGAGCTTTGAGACAAGTTCTCATTAGACAGCCCTGGCTATTCTGGAACCAGTGTAGACCAGATTGGCCCCCAACTCACAGAGATCTACCTGCCTTTACCTCCTGAGTGCTGGGATTAAAGGCATGTGCCACCATACCTAGTTTAAAAAACTCCACAATTTAGGAGAAACCTCTTCTAGTCTAAGTCTTGGGTTTTGTTTTCTTTGTTTTTTGTTTTTGTTTTGTTTTGTTTTGTTTTTTTGCAAACTCAAGGCTTAGTAGACTGCCTGATAAACACACTTCCCTAGTGATCAATAGTTAACAATTTATTATGCACACTCAATGATGATAGATAAATTACAAATGGATCACAGTTATGATCTTAGTAACAAAATCCACTTAAAAGACAAGTTTAACCTGCACTTTTATTAATACAACACCAGATAGCTTAAGATTTTGTAGAATGGCCTTTCTGAAAGAATGCCTTCATTCTTAATTTCTGAGACTTCTAACTGAATTTGATGTATAGAAATCTATTCACCTCGAATGCCTAGCAGCCGCTGGCTTCTATGCTAGACCACAGATGTGAGGAATGAAAAAAAAGTCCCTTTTCTGTGGCATACATCATCTCTCCTGTTTGGGAGAGATTTTAAGGATGTGAATGTTTTTCTGTCAGCCGATTGGTTAGACAGAAAACAATGTTAGCAGTACTGTTTATTGATGAATTTTCTCTTACTCCCCTCCAAGCAAAAATGCTAGTCAGTCAGTCCTTCTAACAGGCATTTTAAAAAGATTTGTTTTATTTTTTAAGAGAGAGAGAGAGAGAGAGAGAGTGTGTGTGTGTGTGTGTGTGTGCAGGTGCCTGTGGAGGCCAGAAAGACTAAGCTGAGTGCCTTGGGGATAGTGTTGTAAATGGTTGTAAGTTTCACAAAATGAGGGCTGGAAACCAGACTCAGGTCTTCTGCAGAACAGCACCTCTTCTAAACCGCTGAGTCATCTTACCAACTCCAGTTAGGTAGGGTTCACTCCGAAAACTGACTATGAGTCTGAAAACTCCTCGAGTTAGTGAAAAAAATGAATGAAATAGCCAACTTGAAAGGACGTGTGTAGGACATTTCAACCTTGTTTGTGTATTTACTTGTTGACATTTTCTAATAGCCTAGTTCACCGATGCCCTAAGTTTTGAAGTGCATCGAGTCAATTTTGCCTTTGATGATGATGCTTCGTCTTGTCCTGAGTCTTTGTTCAAGGAAAACTCTCAAGGCAGAGGGTAACTCTCTAGTAAGTAAATATATATATATATATATATATATATATATATATATATATATACACACACACACGTATATATAAGTGAATATATGTATATATATGTTACAGTACCATTTGTGTATATATATAAAACTCTCTAGTAAGTGAATATATGTGTATATATATATATATATGTATGTTACAGTACCATTTGTAATGCTTAATTGGTTGTTGTAAGTATCCTCTTGAACCATTATTGTTTAACTTAGCCTATTGTAACAGCACACACAGTGGCTACTATTCTCTACTATTGGGGGTGTAACAGGAAGCTATAGACTCTATGTATCCATCTCTTGTCTGCTCACAAATTCCTAGGTAGAAATCCTTATCTCCTGAGTTATGATTGATAGACAATTGGGTCAAGTGTGGATCCCTCATGAATGGGATTAGTGCTCCATTAAAGGATTCTGTAGAGCTCTCCCGTCCCTTTCTGCATGTGAAGATACCAGGAAAAGATAGCCATGAGTAAACCAGGCACCTGAATCAGGAGGTAAGTCTTTGCTAGGCACCAAATCTATCAGAATCTTAATCTTGGACTTATGAACATGCAGGACCACCAACCGTATTTTGAGTGTTGTAAAGTCACTCTAAATATATTACTGTTGTTATTGAGTCAGAGCTGACTAAAAAGATGCAGGACATATGTTATGGAGGGTGTTTGTGATATCTTGGCTGTGAATGGCTTCTCAGAATTTGGTAAAGTTTATTATGAACAGCTATTCAACAGTGAACGTGGCAAGTCTTAAGCTTGAAACTATGTTTTAAGAAAAGTGTTTCTTTATCCTCCCTACCACTAGGGATTAACCAAGATCCTGGTTTACATAACTTAAATATTTATTGAGGGAATATATGTATGGGACAATATACCAGGAACTATGAGGGGTTTTTGGAAAATACCCTTAAGCTAGTCAGGGAGAAAAGGCAAACACACAACTTTTACAAGGGATTTGTGGAGCAGAGGCATAAGCTACATTGTTCACTAGTAGACTGGGAAGGTGCTGGAGACGGCCTTGGTTTTGTACTACACAGGCTTCCTAGCACACAGCAGCTTCCCGTGTCCCTAAAGCTTTGTTTATATCATAAAAGCTGCTCAGAACCAGCTGGAGAACTCTCTTCTGCCCAAGACTTCAGAGGAAGGCAGAGCTTGAGCTATGTCTTCGTCCATTCGGGCCACTCTAACAAAACACCTTCGTGCTCACTTGGCAACTCATACACAAGAAGGAGGAGGGACAGGAGGAGGAAGGGAAGGCACGCTTAGACTGGGTGATTTACAGGGACAGAAATTCCAGTGCTGGAGGGTGAAAAGGCCAGCAAGTGAAGATCAAAGTGCTAGCACATTCAGGGCTTTTCAAAGACTCGCTCTGGGCTTCATAGACGGTGACTTGTGTCCTCACATATCAGGGGAGGGCAAGCAATGGCGCCCCCCCTTTTCATTAGGGCACTGGTTCTTTATATAATTCAGGAGGACAAGACCTTTTGACCTTGTGATTTAATCACATCCAGAAAAACACTCCCATTTCCCATTGATACTCTTGCACCCTGCACGGGGTTCCAATGCATGAATTTT